TGCTTCACCTGTAATACAGCTCCCTGATAAAGTGCATCTGAAAGCACCAGAAGATAATCCAAGTACTTGGACCCTGATGAATGTAGGAAACCCCGAGGAAGCTCCTGGCTCTGGACAAGCCCAGCATCTTCTGCTGTGGCACTCTGGGGAGAGAGAACCAGAAGATGGAAGATCACCACTCATGCGCATGTATGTGGTCATCCATCTTGACTTCTCTCCCCTCTCCCTCTTTCTCTGTAACTCTGCCATTCAAATAAATAATTAAAAAAAAAAAAACTAAGATGGATAATGCCTAGAAGTTTCTTCAAACTTCTAAATGACAATAAAAATGTACATTTACTTATTATGCAAATATATTGTTTAAAGCAACTTAACATACATTTCAAACAGGCCTGATGAAAGAATTGCACCTATTATTTCAGGAGATATAAGAATAGAGTAAGAAATTTAAAAAAATTAATTCTGATCATGAGAAAGGTTACAGAGGAGAAGCTAGAACAGTCAGCAGGTTCAAGAGGAAACTCTTTTTTTCCTCCTAAAGATATCTGATTCATCTGAAAGGCAGAGTTAGGAAGAGACACAATGGAGAAACAGAGATACTCTCCATCTACTGATTCACTATCCAAATGGTTACAATGCCTGGGGTGTGGCCAGGCCCAAACCAGGAGCCCTGGGAGCTTCAAGCAAGCGTGGATGCTAATCACAATCCCATGCCATTCGGAAGAGTGCCAGTAATTTAGGCCACACTGCAACTTTCTCAGGACGCTTACTGAGTACCTTAAGCAAGTTTATAATTCTCCCAAATCATCTACTCTATAGATCTGTAAATTCAAAAAGCTCTCAAAAACAAAAAGACAATCAATCAATTTGGGCAGTAAAACCTAAACTCAACTGATAATAAGTTCTATAGAATCATTACTTTCTTGAGCTGAATATTCAGAATATTTAGAAGTTTTCAAGTGTACCTTGAAGAAGTTTACAGAAAATGAAAACAGTAAGTTTACTTTGATGTAAAAAAATTATGAAAACCATGCACAGTTTTTTTTTTATCATATGCATTTTCCAAGAATGTGAAAAACACCCTGAGTTCACAAATACACAGAGCCCTGGAGATCACAGGGGAGCATTGAGGACTTACTTTTGGGGGCCTCAAATACACTACAGCCCAAGACTTAGACCACCACTACAGACACCCTGCCTTTGCAGATTCTGAGTGAAATGTATAAAACCCCAGAAGGGATGAGAAGACATCTAGATATAGTGCTACAATGGACAGGAGCTCAAAATCAACCCACCACTAATGATTGAATGGCTGCAACACATGAAGCATTAAGTGACTGTCTTTCAACATGTGTCCATAGTGGTCACTAGAAAGCTCTTTTAATACCTGAAGATCCTACAGGCCAAAAGAATATGCATGTTACGTATGAGCATTCACTACATCTGTTCATAAGTTCTTGTTGTTAGGCTGAGCAGAAGTAACTCCTGAGGGACTGAGTGCATCAGAGGACTGGGAAATGTATCAGAAGCAGGAACACCTGGTAGCCCAGGCACACCAAGCCACAGATGGAGCCCCGGTGCTCAGTCCTTCCTGCCTCCCTCTGGCCACCAGCCACACAAGGAGCCTCTCTAGCCTCAATGCTATCTTTACTGAGATCAAACAGATACTTCCAATTCTGTCTCCACAGAATATCAAAACCCACTGTGATGACATGTCACAAGCATGCACACACTGAGGAGCTGCCACCTCCCTCTATCTTACACACCTAAAATGTACAAAAGCCCGGTGCTATATTCCCTGAACGGTCATTTCTCTCACACGGTCACTCCGCCATGTGGAAGTGGTCCCAGGGTGTCTCCCACAAGGGAACAGTCCATCAGATACATATTCATCCATTCTCTGCCTCTCTCTCTCTCTCTCTCTCTCTCTCTCTCTCCTCCCCCTGCCTCTTGTCTATCTCCTTCCTACAACTTCAATGGCCTGCTATCTGTATTGATCAGAGAACAAGGAAACATGATTAGAACTCTGGTAAGTGAAGACAGAAAGGAACTATGTCCTCAGGTTTAATGACAGACAGGAGATTCAATCGGCAAGACTTGCTCCTCTTCCCTTCTGAATGAACCATGGGCGTGAGGCATGGAGCAGGGGGAGCTGAGGGATTGAGGGCCACACGCTAAGGGTGGCAGGCAGAGCAATAGGGGAACACACTGCCATCCCAGATGGCCTACCTTGAAATTAGTTCATAGAAAAATGAATTTGCTCTTACAACTGCAACAGAAAAAGGAAAGTAAATACCAAGAAATCACTTTCTTGAAAATTCAACCTTAAAAGAAACTTTGAACAACTTAAGTTCAGACACTAGACACTTCCCCATTAGGATCCACCACAGCCAACTATCCTGAACCACTATCAAATACTACACCAAACTTTTTTTTTCATAATATTCACCCTTTTCCATTTACAGTTAACACGATGGAACACATATGCTATGAATATACCAAATACTTCTTCCAGATACTATTCAACTTACCACAACTTCCTTCATTCAAATAAACTATCCTATTTTTTTTTCCTATGGCACTTCAGAAAATATATTTCATCAAATCTTTAGCTAAAAGGAATGGGTTACTCATTTAGTCTTCCGTTGTCATTTTACTGGGATGTTCTTCACATTGGCGCTTGGTTTTGTTGGGTGCTATTCACTTCAACAGCAGAATGATGGACTTTTGTTTAAGAAGGATTATACCATTGTAATAATATAGGGGAAATCAGTGAGAGAGCAGGTTTCTTTAACGGGGGGTAATAAGGAAAATCCCAGAGCTTACAAAATTGTTTCATAAAAATAATATGCATGTGCATGTGTGTGTGTGTGTAAATACCCCGTAAGTTTACCTGTGTGTATATGTGTGTGCATGTATATATATAAATACCATATAAGTTTACCTATGTGTGATGTGTGTGTGTGTATAAATACCCTGTAAGCTTACACTACACAAAATACATTTTCTTCCCATTATTACACTTCAATTGCTTAATTTTTTTTTTCTTCTAACATCAATAAGGATAAATTTTCATTGTTTCCTGCTTCACGCTGCAGCAGCAAGGAGGGAAAGCAAAGACAGCGTCCTTTCTCCACCCATTAGGCACGGCCCTGCCTCGTCCACTGACGCACGCACATCCAGAGGAAGTGGGGCAGGAATCCCTTTTAGCAACATTTCCCATTGTTAGAAGCAGAAAAATCAAAGCTCTTCCAAATAGAAAAGGGAATAGAAAGATAGTAAGACAATCTGCATACAGTTCACAAGGGACACGATATTTCAGGCACAGGCATATAACCCCAAATGTCTCAAAATATTACTATGGTTTACATTTAGCCAAAATCTCAATTTTACTAGACAGGATACATTCTCCCCCATATTTTCATTTTATTTACATTATAATATTTTAATAACCTGTATTCATTTGAGGGGCAAAGAGAGAACTCTCCTCCACTGGACCACTTTTCCAACTCCTTTAGCAGCTGGGCCAGGACAGGGCTGAAATCCGAGAGCTGAAATGCAAAGTCTCTGACACTGTTGGCGGAACCCAAAGAGCTGAGCCGTCACTGCTGCCTCTCAGGGTGGAAAGCTGCAGCTGGCAGCCAGGAAGCCTGCAGAGTGGCACACCGTGGCACACTGGCATCGCAACACAAAGCTTGCCCAGCATCTTACCTGCCCTCCGACACATGTGCTCCCAACAATTATCCTTCTAACCCTCTCTTTTGAAGAGGTGATAAGACAATGTCATATTTCCTAAATCATGTGTCTGGATTCACACTTAGCCATTATAATCAGATGCCACGGGATGGATATCCTGGTGTAGATCAACCCGTTTGTGATATCTGCATCCCATGTTAGCGTACTGGTTTCCACTTCTGCTGACTCAGCTACCTAACAGGGCACTCAGGGAAGCAGTGGTTGACAGCTTAAGTTCTTGGGGGCCCTGCCACTTGCATGACAGACCTGAGCGGGGTTCCTGGCTCCTGCTTTGGCCTGGCTCAGCTTCAACTTCTAACAGAAAGAGCTGTCTCTTCCTCTCGTCACCCGTTCAACTAAATGAACCTTAAATGAATTAGAGGCCTTGATGGTTCCAGTATTCCCAAGAAATCATAAAACACTGCTTTATATGATTAGCAGTAGTAACCAATTAAGCACCCTTGTCAAGTCAATAAAACATCTCTCAAGGCTGGCAGTATGTTGTAACGGCCAACGCTTCCGCCTGCAGTGCCGGCATCCCCTGTGGGTGCTAGTTCAGTTCTCAGCTGTTCCACTTCTGACCGTGATCCCTGCTAATGCACATGAAAAAGCAACAGAGGATGTCCCAACTGCTTCAGTCCTTTGTAGCCATGTGGGAGACACAGAGGAATGTTCCAACTTCTAGCTTCAGACATGCCCAGCTCTAGCCATTGTGACTATACTTCTTAAAAACAAACAAACAAACAAACAAAAAAAAACAACCTTGCTAATTCCTGCAGCATAAACTGACAGTTCTGGAATGAACTGGTGGACCATTTATGGCAGGGACTGGACCTACTAATAATAACAAATAAATAAATAAATAAAAGTTTCTTCTTTCCCTTAAAAAGCAGAAATGATTGATGAAAAATCAGGCAACTAACTGAAACCTTAACCAAAGACATAATCTCAACATGGTATTAAAAACAGGGGAATTTTCTTTCTCACAATGACATATATGCCATCCTATGTCTTCTATCTCTAAGAAATTTTAGTTGCTATAAAAACTTCCTCAGGTATCTATGTACTAAGAACTATGCTACCTTCAGCACTGAACTTATCACAGTCATGGGAGGAAATGTATTTTTTTCAGAAATTTTTCTCAAAAATTCACGAATTGGTTACACGAACTACTGCTGCAAGTTAGAGGCTGATAAAAAGAATAGAACCATGAAACCCGACATGCTATAAAACTGGAACATACTGCTGGGAAATTATTCATTTACCTTGGCTCTGAACTCACTTCGATTATATTTTTTCGAGGCAGAGAATCCTGTGATTTTTGTTTCAGATCCTACAAAAATGAACATTTTTAAATTTTACTTTTTAAAAACTTCCAAAATTAGCTATATAAGAGCACCTTTCAAAAAAATCTTAAAAAGGGCAAAATAACATAAACATTCTCTTTCCAGTTATAGAAAATCCATCACAATTCCGAACAATCCCTGTGTAAATGTGTGTGATTCCTGTCGTATAGGTATGTGTTCAGAGCTCTGAAGTGGAGCGGACGTTTCTAGAGCTTGAGTTCGTACTGAACAGTCCCATGCAGAGACCAAATAAATCAGTTCTAAAGGTGAGTCTACAAAATTCTGTACCCCTTTATTTTTGTGTCTTGTGTTTCATAGCCTTGCGAAATACAGGTCCATTTATTTTAATATGAAAATATCTAATTAAAAACATCGGTGTATGAAACTACAGAGGTGATGGCTGTGTGCAGAAATTTATACCATATTTAAGCTCCAAACACGTCATTCATACAGTTGCAATTACATGTGATTTCAAAACATGATTTGCCAATAGGGTGTATAAATAAGGTTCCAATCTTTTTCTCAACTATTCTTCATTCTACTTCTAACACTTATGTTTTATTGCAGCTTTTCTTGCTTACTGCAACAGAAGGCAGCAAGTGTTCTCATCCTAATTTACAGACAAATGGATGAGGGACCACAATTGGTAAGTAATTTTCTCAAGGGCCAATGAATAGCCAGTTGTCTATTTGCTTAATCACGGTCTATTTCATCATACCCCATAGCTGTCCATGAGCTCATGCTGGAACCAGAAGACCAGTCAAACCCAAGGTTAGCAAGAACAGAATAAGGACTGATAAAAAACTCAAATACTGTGAAGTTTCTAATATCCAAGTAGAATATCTGTAATGCTCCATCCTTACAACATCAACTCAATGGTGCTTTATCAGTTTTATACCATTGACAAAAGTTCACTGTTTTATTCTTGTATTTAGATGCATACCAGAACATTTTCACATTAAAATCAAATACTTACAGGAAAGAACACACAGTCAGCTTTATGAGCAGATACAAATTATTTTAAATACATACAAGCATGATTAGATTCAGCCACTTTCCCAATCTGAAAACAGAAGAATCACATATTTTACAAGGAATACGAAAGAGGCCAACCCACCATCTCTAAGAAGGAATCCAGAGAATAGGAGTCATACATGTGTTTGTCCCTCAGAATGAGAAGAAAGGCAGAACTTCCGATGACCTTCTCCAAAAGCATCAACGAATGAAAGAGTCTGAAAGCCAAAAATCATTAGTCTGAGAACAATTTAAAAATATGCAGATAAAGTTTTCCGTTTCAATAATGGCCCAATGTTTTCATCTTGAATACACAAAGTGTAATCTACACTAACTCTCTAAACACGGTTCCTTTTATTCCCTAGAAGTAAATACTTAGGGGGAAAAAAAAGTTAGGCCATACATATCCCTGGTGAAGATTTATTTAAAATAGAAAACCTTCTGGATACACCTGATATCCATAAACTTATTCAAACTGCTTATATTTTCTATGAACATCACAGAAAATAAAACTGCCCAGGTTTGCTCAACACAATAGTATAAGGTATTCTGTGAAAAACAAAAATTGCTACTTCCCTTAGTAAAAACCTAAACATAGCTTGAAACAACATAGAATACCAGATTAACTCGGTTCACCAAATACTTTAGTCTTCATAGAAACCACCCTCCGGAGTTAAGATATCTCCCCGAACTTAGGTTCACAATATTGCTCAAAAGAACTAGAAAGTTTTGCACAGGCCTGGATACTGGAATTGGCTTCATCCCTGTTACTCTTCTTAGCCACCGAAATTACCAACTATATTCACGCGGCATCTTACGCCTGAGGAACTAATGAATGCTTGAGAATCTATTGATTTAGGAAATACAACTTCGGTGTATCAGCAGCTCTTGCTAGGCCATTCCATATTGGAAAAGAGCTAGCTTGAGGGTGTTTTCCACAGTCAATGTAGCTAATACTTAGAGCACAAAAACAACTTTAATGTGTGCTGAAGTAAACTGACATTTTGTTATTTGAGTGTTGTCCACAACCACACACGTACTCCTGTGGAACAGTGCTTTTCTAACTTACACTTGTACAGCTATTTGTTAAGAGCGGCACGGAGTTTGCTATTATCAACTAAACTGGATACATGCTGCCGCAAAACTTAAACAGAAAAAAAAAAAATAAAGGAAAGAAGAATATCCATGAATTCTTGAAATCCTATCTATGAAATTCCATGAACTCTGTTTTCTACATTAATAAACAAAACAAGTAACAATCACAAAAATTTTTTTAAAAGCCTAATTCAATGACAGTTTAAGGTTTTACAAACCAGGTTTCTCCAACAAGATTCACGTAATGCACAGAGAAGCTGTGTTAACCACGTTTAAAATCCGCCATCAGACACACAGTCTACCAGGTTTATATTCTTTTTCTACTATTTTTTTTGTACTGGAAGAAACTTGATCTTCGCCTTCTGGACATATTTGTTTCACATAAAAACAATGAAGAATTAGAACTAACTTCTTTTTCCAGACATGAACGTGACCAATATCATTGTTATCAATTAAACATATAGACACAGTAAACTTATATTGTAAGTATTTTTAAAAATTGTATGGCTTTGAATTCACGCTATCACTTAATTAAATTTCTCAATATATAAATATAAATGCCTTTTCGAAAACGCAAGAAATGTTCTCACCAGATATGAACACCATAGGAATTAATACATTTTAGCTATAAAATTATTTATATTACTTTCATAGTTATCTGTCTTATGTAGCCTGAATCTACAGAACCAAAGTTACATTTTCCTTCCACTAAAATTGTCTATGTCTTACAGCGTATTATTAAAGAGTTGCAATTAAACTCAGTGAAGTCTAGGAATTGTTGTTTGCACCTAAAAGGCAAAAAACCTACCACAAAGCATTCCCTACATGCTTTCTCAGGACTTAATATCCTATTTTCTTTAAAGTAAAGCCCATCAAATAAATTTGGACAACACTAAGATATTCAACATGTTTCAGCAATGCGGAGCTTCTCCAAACCTCTAATTTCCTATGATGTACGCATTAACAGGGTACACGAATTAGGAAAAAAGAATCATTTAGGAATCACGGCTCTCTAGTTTCTTACCACCAGTGCACTCAGGAGATGTTCTGACGTCTGTCACCCAACAGATGGGTGGAAATGTTAGTCCCTCATTTTCACCTTCTGTTCTGCCTTCTCTTAACCTACCCTAATTACAATTTTGGAAAAACTGGCAGAATTCTAAAATGTTCCCATCACTCATCTCATTATCACTTCTTCTTCACTCATACCTCAGCTGCATTATCGACCTTTAAGCTGAACGCCCACCACGAGCACTGCTCCAATGTAACTCATTTCTTGTGGCTGTCCATGATTTAGAACCTCCAAATATGACAGGATGAATTCCTGCTGTGCGGTTTGTCATTTCATACACATCCACCCTACTGTGACAGCATGACTCTGAGCATCACACTGCGGAGCCAGGGTACCCAAACTGCTCAGGAATTAAGCAGGGTAACATTTACAGTGTTTGGGGCTGCAGTCAGATGTAGTCCCTAACACATACGCTTGTTCTAGAGACATCTGTGCCAGCATCTAAATGAACAGTGGTCTAAAGCCCAAGTATATATATATATATATATATATATATATATATATATATATATATATATATATCTATAAAATACCCTGTGGTGGTTGCTTCTTTGTGGCTAATTCCTTAACTCATGTTTTGAAATTTCCTCCTCAAAATGCCTGTGCTAATGGCTTGATAATTGTTTCTGACTTCTCAATGAAGTGTGAAGTGCTCCCAGAGCAAATTTACAAATGTCAAGTACAATTAGAGAATTATTGTGTCTTTCCCCACCCCCACCCGCCTCTAAAATGCAATTCTGCAAGGGGTTTGTTTTCCTAAGCTAAAAGCAATATAAGACATCTCTGGAGCAACTGCTGGTCAACCTTCATGAGCCACTTCTTCTGTAGTCCAAACTCAATGACCTATACCCAAATCTCTTTGCGCTAGGAAGCCAAAGAGAGGAGGAAGACTGGGATGCCCTGTCCGGGAGGTCTGCTATGATTCCAACCAGTCTCACTTAAATACAAACCCAAAAAAACCCTCTCAACAAGCCAAGAAGGCAGGAGCAGAGGAAGAGGAAAAATGTACTCACTGACTGTCCCATTGACTTTCCCTTCAACAATACTTACAGGTGGAGAGACCCACATCACCACCACTTAGTCAGTGCTTCCCACTGGGAGCGCTGCTCAACTCACTGGAATAGGGCCAAAAGCATCTGCTTACGAGGAAACTGAGCAGATGTTCAAGAGTCACCAACAATAAGGTTTTTCAGGGCTTGAGTCCACTAACAAAACCTAAGGAATATCCTTCTCTCTGGTGTCTACACACCCAGTCAAAACACTGCACCTATAATTTAATAAACACATTATAATTAGTACGATCAGCTGTCAGTCCCTTTTTTAATGCTGACTGTGTGTGCTATGCACACTGTAAGTATACAGCAGTACATTTTGAATGATTTTAAAATATTAACAAGCCACCGCTGACAGATTAAAAAATCTGAAGAAGCAGTTTAAACGACAGCGAAACAGTAGTTAAACCTCCTTGCCAATGTAAGAAGCTCCTCCATCAGATTCTAATGATTGCTCTGTGAGAAGAAGGCACAGAGCTTGGTGTCGCTTGGGGTGGGCCTTGCAGCTTGGCAGGCATGACTTACAAAGTCTCCTGCTCTTCTATTGCTTTGGCAATGAGTGCATTCTCTCAGGCTAAGAGGTGAGGTGGCTGTGACATCAACGCCCGGGGCCACGCCTCCTCTCCGCCTGCTTCTACCAGCCACCTAGCACATGTCTCCCTTCCTGCTTGCTTATTCATCCGATGCATGTCCCTCTTAGCAAAAGCAAAATATTCGAGCACAACTGGATCAGAGACAGCAAGAGATAAGAATTATTTAACGAAATTATCTAACAAAATGATTTAACAAAGGGCTTTTTCTGGCAAAGGATTACACTGGTTTATTGGATGCCAATATTGTTGCTTTAGAAGACAGTCTCAATGAACCGCATGGGACCCACACGTGGATGTGGGAGAAAACCGTAGCAGGTTAGGGCTCTGTCACAAGATGTCTAGCAAATGCTTTGGAAATCAATGATGCTCTACCACCGCAATACGTAAAAAGAATATGATTATCACCTTTGACTCATGTGCACGGACACCTTCATCATCAGAAACAAGAATTTTCTGACTCCAAATTGTACAATGTTTGTTCAAAGGCTATTTTTCCCTAGTTGCGTTACCTGGTACCATAGTCCACCATCACCCAGTCTTTGGCAGTTCCGGTGATAGCGTCATGATGCTGAAACAGCCCCAAGTTCCTTCTGGCTTCTGTCAGTGCCGTGTAATGCGAAGATGAAAGAAAATTTTTGATCTTGTATTTCTGAGCTTGCTTCAGGGCGAGATAGTAAAGAATTTCAGCAGCCCTAATTGTGTAAAAACAAATATTAATTTTTATTTCAAAACAAATATTTTAGTTTATCATCTAAAATACATGGCTAATACTTTTCAAATGCTCTTCACGCACAATTACAATGCATCTTATGAAAATGATACTGACAATAAGCACCACGTCTACAAAAGCCCCAGGGTACCCACCCAACACATCTAACTTCTCCACCATCAAAGAACATGACGTCTACAGTGATGCTGAGGATTCTTATTCTAGATGATGTTGGAAAGCAGCCAGCACCTGTTAGCAACAAGACTGGTTTATCTATGTATAACACAGTGGAAAATATCTGAACGCAGCAGCATCCCCAAGAAGCAGGTGAACACACCACAGACAGCCACACTAACAGCACCAGGCAGGCCCTCACTCTCAGACCTGAACCTCAAGGGTGCGGAAACACCTGCTCACGTGAGCACAGCGTGGAGGGGAGAGGCAGAAAATGACAGCCAAGCCTGGTGCAGGAACAAAGAGCTAGCTTCAGTATGGGATGACAGCACACAACAGATACAGAGAACTGAAGAATGTGAACTGAAAATGAGAAACTTGGTGGGAGCTGGTCCGGGTAGAGCTTACGGGAAAGATGATAGGGGTCAATGATTTTTACCTTTTTTTTTTTTTTTTTCATCACAGAACATAGTTCAAGATAGGTTTCGAAGATGATTCTTTGAAAGGAGACCTGGGGTGGGAGGCGGGGAGGGCAGCAGGTAAACTGCTACATGGGGCACCCACACCCCTATCAGAGTGACTAGGGTTCAAGCCTTCATTCCACTCTTGGTCCAATTTCCTGCTAATGCTCACCCTTGGCAATATCACATTACAACTCAAGTATCTGTGTCCCTGCCACCAAGGGAGACACACAGATGGAGTTCCAGGCTTGGCATGACTACAGCAGGTGTTTCAGAAATTAACCACAGAATGGAAGAAAGCTCTCTTCTCTCTCTCTCTCTTTTCTTCACTCTGGCTTTCAAATAAATGGATTTTTTAAAAGTGTGTGCTTTTTTTTTAAAGGAAAAAAATGGAGGCACAGAGTTCTGGTGCTTGGTACAGTGATTATGATGCCCACATTCATATTAGAGTGCCAGGATTTGAACCTTTGCCCAACTTTCAAATCCATCTTCCTCCCTATGCATGCCCTGGAAGGTAAGAGGTGAGGGCTGGAGCACCTGGGTCCCAGATACTCCCATGGAATCCACTGGCTGTCATACGCACTTTGGCCATGAGGTAGCAGATGAAGATCAATTCTCTCTCTCTCTTTCTCAAAGTGAAAGTAAGTATTTCTTTAAAGGATGTGTGGCTTAGTGAAATGAATTGTATGTGACTTTTATCAACAGTACCTCTGAAAAGCACTGGACGTTCTCTAGCTTGCAAGTGAGCTTGCAAACGAGGGTGGGGATGACCCACCTCTTTTTTTGTTACCACAAATATTCATCCTGAAAATGAATTACCTCACCACACTTTACACTGAGGAGGCCTCAGGAGCCCCTGGGGTACCTGCCACGGAACAAGCTGCTCATGTTAGAACCACTAGTCACAGGTGGCACTGGGGCCTCTAGATGTGCCACTGACACCTACATTAACTAAAACTGGAAAGTTTAAAGAATTTAGTTCCTTCATCACACTGATCCTATTTCAAGTGCTCAGCACTCCCTTGTGGCTGATGACTCCCATACTGGACAATGGCAGAAGCAGCAATGATTACAGAGTCTCCTGTCCATGGCGACTGAGAGGCCCGTGGGACAGCGGTGGCTTGGAGTTGTGCGTTTTCTATCCACCTTTCTACCTCCGCCATTATCAGTTTCATTTTCCAACCAGTCAATCTCTTTGTCCCATCAATTCTCATTTCTTTCAAATTTGTTCTTCTAAGCAGAAAATCATATAGAGACATGTTTCAAAAGAAAGAGGAACTGAGACGCAGCCTGAAAGATTCTCCCACACGTGAAACACAGCCACCTGGACACCCACGTGCTGGCTGCTGACAGTCCCTACTTGCTTGAATTGCACACACCAACATTTCCAGCCATTCAATAGTCCTGTCTGCTGGCCTCCAGAAAGACACACCAAATGCTGCCACTGAATATTTACATGGTGTGCAAATAATATAGGTAAATTAATGAGAAAAATATGACACGGAATGCAACTCCAGCAAAATCTAATTAGATAAACTGCTTTTCCTCCCAGAACAAAAACCCATGCAATAATTTAACTGTACTTTGGAGACGTATTTCTGATTGCATTAAAATTTTGTGATTGCATTAAGCCCAATCATAACGCCGCACAAATGATGCACATTATGCCAAAAATTCCCCAGAAGGCCTAAAATAACATAAAAGTAATGAATAAATAAATGTGACTGAAAAAATGAAGATACCGTAGCTGGGATTCCATGACTCTATCCAGCCATTTGTAAAAAGGTCTAGATGTGAAGTAGCCGCTCCAGTAATGATCATCCCGGTCGGCATAGGTGAAAAAATCTCCACTTACAACAGGAAACAGTGATTGACCATTGCTACTCTCAGCGGCAGCTGCTTTATCCAGGGCATCAAAATAATCGGATACAGTTCCAAATTGTATCTAGCAAAGAAAAACAAAGTTACACTTCAATAATTCATTTCTACTTTGCAATCACTCACTGCCTACACCGAAAGTTAAGGTGAATACAGAATAACTTGGATACACTTTTAGGTTACAACAGGTGAAATATCCTGATGGCCATGCAGCTATATTATAGCTACTCTACTTCCAATAGGGTCCCCAGCTAAAGTGCTCTAGGAAGCCTTCTAGGATGGCCCAAGGGTGAGTGGCCCTGCCACCAACTTGGGGACCTGGACGCAAGGTTCTTTGGTCCAGATTCAACTGTTGCCACCATTTAGGGAGTGAACATGTTGATGGAAGATCTCTCGTTGTCATGACTCACAATCTCACTCTCCTTCTGCCTTTCATATTAAATCCACAAGTACAATCTTTTTAAAAAAAATTTTTTTAAATGTTCCCAGGCAAAATGAACCAAGAGCTTAGATTTAACAAGAATCTAAAGCAGAAGGAGAAACATAAGTGACTTTTACTTGCAAGAAGTTCTAACTTTAACAGAAAACCTGTATGCCTACAAAGTGAGCAGAGGGGCTATTTAGATCTCTGCATTTGTGTATCTATCCTTACGTATCTTGAGATTCTGCAGCAGGCAAGGACCCCCTCACTCAAAGAAGAAAAATAAAAGACACACACACAATACCCCACAAATCTGGAAGAACAGTCTTGTTAGCCTTGCATGTCTCATACAGTGTGTCCTCCCCATGCCTCCTTTTCCTCTAGCTTGAGTGCTAATGATGGGGAAGAGGCACTTTAAGAATGGCAGGTCATTGAAAAATGGACTTCCGCTACCTGGAGGCAACACTGAGCACAAGTAAAATACAGGGTGACAAGGAATGCAAGGTTGACTGCTCAAATGAACAGGTCTTTGTGACTAATGATTTAAATTACCGGCGCATAAATCCATTTTTATGAGTTCAAATTTTTCTACAAGCCAAAGGACACAAAAAACATTACAGCAGACCTTGTAAAAATGTATGAAAAGGAACTCTTACTCAAAGAAAAAACAGATTCCTCAACAGGGACTGTGCTTTTTTTTTTTCAATATTAAGATGCTGGCGACTTTGTTCCTGCTGTACACACACACAGACCCAGACTTGCTAAGGCACTTTAATCCATTGTAGCGCTGACATGGATTTAAATCCCATCTCAACCACTTAAGCCACAGGAGGTTTTTGGTATATTATATAACGTTTCTGTATTACAGCAAATATGGTTCTTAAGTAGAAGGTTTAGAAATATAGCTGGCAAGTAATGGTTCAAATTTTTAGTTGTATTTTGCTACTTCAAGAAACAAAATCTGGACTGGATGCATTTACAGCACTGATATTAACAAGTAAAATACAAGTTATAACAATCTAAATGCTACAATCAGTTTTGTTGCAGCAACCAAGTATTTCTTAACCCTAAAGATGTTACTAAAAGTAATCAATTTTCAAACACAACATTTAGTCTTCCTTGATCCTCCCCCCATTTTTATTTATTTTATAGGCAGAGATAAGCAGAAAGACTTGTTCACTCCCTCAAATTCCTGCAAACAGCTAGAGCCGGACAGGATTACAGGCAAGAGCTGGAAACACAAACCAAGCCTTCCACATGGGTGGCCAAAACTGTTGCTCTCATGTTCTCCCTCTTTTTTTTCCTTAAGATATACTTTATTTCTTTGAAGAATTACAAGAGAAAGAAGGAAAGACAGACAAAAAAATCTCACATCTGCAAACTCACTCCCCAAATAGCCCCGTGGCCAGGGGAGCCCAAACCAAACCCCAAGCACTTGGGCCATCTTCTACTGCTTTCCCAAGAGCATTGGCAGGGAGCTATACTGAAAGTGGAGTAGCCGGGACTTGAACCAAACCCTATAAGTGAAGCCACTGTGGCAGGCAATGGCCTTACCAGTTATGCTACAATGTGATTCCCTATCCCAGGTTCTTGCACTAAAGGCAAACTACACTCAGAGGACAAATGTCCAAAATTAAAACTCAGGTTCTCTTAAGGGATGCAGGCTAAATGCCTGATCCTATTCTTGCCTTTACCAGATACAATATGATCTTGAACAAGTCAATCCATCTGTGCCTCAGTTTCCTGATTTATACTGGGAATAACCACAGAACCTATCGGAAAATATTCAAAGAAATAGGTTAAATAAAATATCCTTTAGCGGTAATGACAAGCAATAAGCACTCAGTATATTTTTAGCTAACAAGGATTATTATCCAACTGCATTAGTAGAAAGCAGAATGACATCACACCTTGAAGGAAATGTAACATCGGCTTCATAAACACACAGCAAAGATGAGCCCAAGGATGTCCAGGGAACAGCAGCAAAATATAACTGATCTAAATATGTCTTCATCTTATTTTCCAAACCTATATAGTAATGGATGGTACCCGTCAACTGGAGGTTGGTGGGTTCTTGGTTCAGCGAGGACACGGCTTGAGATGCTCACGTTCCATATCAGGGTATCTGCATTCAAGTCCTAACACTGCGTTTGATTGTAGCTTCTGGGGAATGTGCACCCTGGGAGACAGCAGGTGAACACGCCACTACTTGGGTCTCTGCCAACCACATGGGACCCCCAGATGGAGTTCCTGGTTTAGCTTTGACTTGGCCGAGTCCTTGCTATTCTGGGCATTTGGGAAGTGAACAGGCAAATAAAAGGCCTGTGGTCTGTCTGTTTCTGCCTCTCTGTGTTTCAAATATTTAAAAATAAAATAAGCAAATAAATAAATACTACAGTTAACTTTCAGTGTGAGCCAGAGGAAAATACTTCCCTCTTGGCAATTTTTCAGTTTAGAGATTTAGAGAAGTGTCACAGCAGGCATTCTCACAAACATAATTCAAATCTTGAGAATTGAAAAATAATCCTCCATCTCTGCTAGCATACATTTAAAAATAATTAAATTTTTTATAAAGTTTCATTGGAACTCGTACATAGCAAATATCTGCGACATTTGAAATAATCAAATAAAAAATATTTTAAGTAGCTTATATCCTAAAAATCAACAAATTCAGTCTTAATATCATCCACCACGATTAGGGCAAAGATCTAGAAAAAATTACTTGTTTAAAATGTGATGGCAAATAGCCAAATGGCTGTCTCAGCCATTCTTAGCCACATAAATTCAATTGTTAAACTCGGACTTCCTTCCAAATAAATAAAATAAATGAGCACTTCCAGGTCTAAATATTTCAGAGTCGGGAGGGGAGCGAGTGGAGAAAAAAAAAAAGTGTGTCAAGGGGACTCCTATATGCTACATGAGACATTTGTCCAGTCATTACAGAAACATAACATTCTAACAGAGGATATGTTGTACAATAAATGATTGAAAAATGTGATCACCTGCTCCAGAAAAATACAAGAGCACTTTGCAAATGAAAAATGCAGAATTTCTTAACTTGATAAAACAAATCTACAAAATGCTACAGGAGACAGGCCTAATGAAGAAGCATGGAAAATTTTCTCACTTAGCAAAGCAAGTCCACTCTTGGCACTTCCGCTCTACACTACACTGGAGGAAGTACTCACTGCACAAAAGAAGAAAACAGAGTAAGTATTGCAAGGCTTAAATGAGAAAGACATGACTCAGGCCATTAGAGCATCTAACATACGGAGATAACTAAATTACACAAAAATGGAACCACAGATTTAATATAATCCCAACCAGAATTCCAAATGTTGGGTAGAAATTAACAAACAACTACGACTAACAAATGCATTACTGGGAGAGACAACAAAATAGGGAGAATTACATCATCAGATATTAAAGCCTACAAGAATGTGGAATGAATGAAGTAGACCAATAAAACTGAATCAAGTCTAGACACAGACCCACACAAATGTAGTCTCCCTCGTGACTGATGCGACAGATGCCACTGCAAGAAACTACTGCCTTCCCCATAAACGGTGCTAGATGCCCACAAAGGCCAAAGGATGCCCTAACTTTATCCTTTACAGATAGATTCTAGATGGACCAGTAACATAATCAAGCTTTGGGATCACAACTTCATTCAAAATGTATTTTCATGACAACGAGGTAAGCCACAACAAAATTAAATGGAGTTTAACAAGCACTAACCATAAAAGGAAACACTGTCACAATAGATTTAATGAAAATTATGAATTTCTCCTCTTTGAAAAACAACACTGAGACTGAAAAACCCACACAACACAGTGGGAGGTAATATCTGCATAACTTCCCTAAAAACACTCCTCAACCATGATAAATAAACTAACTATTGCCAACAAGGAAAAGACAGGAAGTCCAACTCAAGGTTTAAAAAAATCATCAGAAGACTTATTTAGACACTTCACAAACGAGTGGCAATCAGAGGCTCAAACTCATTAAGCACGAGGAAAGCACAGAATAAAATATAACCACATCTACCAAAAGCACAAAAATGCAGAGAAAGAAAAATCCCTGCCAAAACAAAGTCTGAGTAAGGACGCAGAGCTACTGAAAACTGTCAAACAGAACAACTAATGCATCTTTTTGGAAAACTGTTTGGCAATTATCTATTGAAGTTAAGCACCTGCACACTATGATAAAATAAAAAAAAGCTCTGTTCTATTTTCCATCCACATAAACTCATACACATGTGGCCAAAACACTGGCAAGATGTTCGATGCAGTTTTATTTGCAAAACACAGAAACTGAAAAACTCAAATACCCAACGATCACAGGATGGATAACGTGCCATATGTTCATTAACATCACATTACAAAGGGATGAGGTACTATGTGCAACTACAGAAACCAAGTTCACAAATATACTGTGGGACCAAAGAAAGTGAGATGCAAACGCTACAGAGTTATGATTCCAACCCCTCAGCTAAAACTCCAGAACAGGAACTGCCAATCATGGACACGGAAGGGAAAGCAAAAGTTAATTTTTCAGGAGCTGGTGCTGAGGGAAGAGGGGCTCTGGGGTCCTATGCCAGGGTGCTGCACGTTTCCTATTTCCTAAGCCTTGACTTGGATGGCATTCACAAAGAAGAGTTGTCACATGAAAAATTATGGGTAGATGCAGGGTTTGCCTAATTCTTCAATGGATATTGCTTTGTTTAAAAAAAATTACTTTACAAAAGAAGCCTGTAATGAGCCTACAAAGAAAGGAATGGATAAAATACTGGATTCTTAGGAGTCAGTTAGGAGCTAGACTCTTCCATGGATTCCACGTGCAGAAATAATACCACATACACACAGCCCCTCCATTGATCAAATATTCCTGTAGTCACATCTTTGCAAGCACAGAGATGAACTAGACACAGGCTCTGTGCTCAGACTGCATGATCTGGTAGAAATTCAACTGCAAATCTTTTGAACACACTGGACGGTTTATGTATACATATCTATTTAATGTTATTTAAGATCATTTAATAAACCTGAATATTTAACTATTATTCACAACATGGTCCATCATCAGGTTTCCTTATTTCCTACAGAAGAATGGCACTTTCTCTCTGCCATGTTTTTACAGACCTTTACTTGTTTTTACGCATTGCTATATGAATATAATAAACATGCTGAATAATTTCTTATCCTATACAAAATTTGTAAGATGCAGAGAAAGCCCTTAAAAGATTTAGTTACTTGGGTTCAGCACGACGCCCATGTGGGTGCCGGTTCCTGTCCTGGCTGCTCCATTTCCCATGCAGCTTCCTGTTTATGACCTGGGGAAGCAGCAGAGGATGGCCAAAGCCTTCAGATCCTGAACCCATGTGAGAACTAAAGGAACCTGCTGGTTCCTGGCTTCAGATTGGCTCATGTCCAACCACTGTGGCCAACTGGAGAGTGAACCAGCAGATGGAAGATCTTTCTCTCTGCCTCTCTCCCCATAAATCTCATCTGCTTTTTCAATAAAAATATATGTTTGTTGATCAAATGCAACATATGACTTTTGTTTGTATCTTGACTTAAATGAGTTAGTTCTCTGTTGAGAAAAATCAGAAAATTTTCAGCCTCCTCTGATACGATGGTATTGTATTACTGCCAAATTTTCAAGATGAGATATTGGCATTAAGTCTCTACTGCTAAACAGACAGCTCATTTAGAGACACACACTGAAATGGTTACTGAGGGAACTACACACATCCGAGATCTGATCCAAAATAATCCTGGGAATTTGAGAGAGACAGTATAGTTGGGGGACAGAGGCAAAATAAGAGTAGTCCTGAGCTGATGAGTATTGTAGCTGAGCTGTGGGTATGGGGAAAGAAAATAGGATGCTCTTTCTCAAAATTTTAATTATTTCTTTAAGCATTTCACAGGGTAAGAAAAAAAGATTGAGGCAAATGATGGATTTTAGAAACCTCTTCACAGAGGAAAAAGTGAGTATATTCCCTGGATAGAAGACATCTGTAAAACTCTTTACACAATGATCTACATCCGCCAGTCACACTACTAGATCACAAGGATGCAACCGTCAGTGAGAACTAATGAACTCTGAGTGCTGGTAGAAAAAAATGGATATTCCTAAAAAAATGAAAACCACAACTTAGTAAGATGTGCATTTATAATTCCATGTAACTAACACCTCTTTGATATTTCAGGATTGGTATTTAGACATGGAGCTGCAGCATGTAGTAATTTTTCTCTTAATACTTTTACATAAGAATTACATATTTAAGAAACACTAGAACAATGGCTGGCATTGTGCTTGTAGCAGGTAAACGCCACTGCCTGTGGCACCCTCATCCTGTGTGAGCACCCACTTGGGTCCTGGATGCTTTACTTCTGATCCATGTCCTTGCTGAGGGCCTGGGAATGCAGCATAGCTCAGCCCTAGAACCCAAGTGGGAAACTCAGAAACAGCTCCTGGCTTCTAGCTTTGTCCTGGCTGTTATGGGGAGTGAACCAGCAGATGAAAGATCTCTCTCCATCTCTTCCTCTCTTTCTCTCTGTAATTTTGCCTTTCAATTAAATAAAAATTTTTAAAAATTAAAAAAAAAACAGGAAAAAAAAAAAAGAAAAACACTGGGGTATGGAACATAAACTAAGGACATTGTACTACAGGATCATTAAATAATGAAGTCGTAACTTCAGATCAGTATCAAATATTTTCTAATTACCTTTATGTTAAACTTAGGCTGAGAATTCATAAACTTAAAAAGCTGCTCATAATTCTTGAGCTGTGCATCCCACTCTGCATATTCAGAGAAACGAAAATCGTCTCCCAGGGGGACCAGGAGTACTTTAGTGCGGTAAAGCTTCGACTTCTTTCGGTACTGATCTAGAAGCATCCAAGCCCTGTAAAAGAAGACAGGAAAATATGAAGGGAGGGAGACATGCCCCTGGTATACCAGTTGTGCTAACCACACCACGTTGTGTCCAACTTGGTTTTATATTGTTGTCAAACACTTTGATAGGGCTTTTACACCACCATAGTCTTCATGATTTCGTGACAAGTCCAAAGTCTATGAGTAAAGTTGAACATCTTTCCATTTAATGAATTATTCCTTATACACCTTGCCTACTTTCCTACTGGACTCCAGTGTTGTTTTTTTTTTTTTCCTTTTATTTGTTGAACTGTAGTAGAGCCATTAGACCTTTGACTCTAACATAAATGTAAAATGTTATCTTGAAAAATAAATAGATGTTCAGTTGACAAAATGAAATACAAATATGTATATTGAAGGAAGTTGTGTTTCATTTAAATTTCAGATTGATATGACTTACAGGGAAGTTTTTCTTTCAAACTTTCGCAAATTCTCCATTTATAAATTCATAAATTCTTATCAGAGGGAAAAACCCACTGTTTTTTTTTTTTTTTAAGAGGATCACCCTATGACAAATACAGCAGCTGGTCCATCAATACTGCCACAGGGTTATTCGGGTACCAAATCGCAGAGAACAAACCTGTGGTAGCCCATGTTTTTAAATCATTTCCTTCAAGAAGCCAATGAGAATTCTCATCAGTATTTGAAATGTGTATTTAAAATATGCAGTTCCCTTTCCTTTAACATGCCTTTTTCTTTTTTAATGTAACACTTCCATAGTCTTATTAAATATAGAAAAGGTATACTTTGGCTTTTTTTTTTAAAACATTTTTTATTCTTATTTTCCATTATACATTTCTGCTTGTTTCCTTCCTTCCCCATCTCCCCTGTGCATTTACATCCTGTTTTTACAACACAGTCACAATCGCAACATTCTGACACTGTAGGTGTAGGCAATGAGAGAGAATCCAGTATCTTACTGGCAAGGCATGGTTCATGGTTTCATTGAGGGCCTTCTTTAATTTAGCAGTAGAGATACAGACGAGTTAGTCTTTGTTTCTTTTAAAGCAAACAGAAAACGAATAAATCCTAGTCTGAAATATGTTTAAGCATGATATTTCCTTTTCTAAAGAATGAAAGCCAATGTACACATTCAGATCTGCCATCAGTAACCTCAAGAGTTGTCACGTGGTCCTTTTCAAAGCTGATCCCCAGGGAGGGGTCAGGAGTTGAGTTAGCAATACTGGTTCCTTCCTCTGTGAGTGCTAATCTGCCACACTAAAGGCCAGCTACGCACAATGTGCCGATGTGATGGAATGGCTTTTATAGTTTATATCCTCATCTTCTGCAGAAATCCGGCGAGGAAATGCTGATGTGGGACAATTTTGAGGAAGTATTTAGTACAAATAAAGAGGCAGAGCTCATGAAAGGGAAACCATGCACGTATACTCAGAGTGATCCAGTGCTCATCAAATCAAGGTCTAAGGCTGATTCGGGGGGAAGATATCTAACTTGGCTAGGAGGAGGCTGATTAAAACACTCACAGTCCATATCAGCTGTTAAGCATCGGCTTCCGGCTCCTGCCCATAACTTCTTGCTAATGCAGACTCTGGAAGGTAGACATGACAGCTCTGCTCAGGTATGTGGGAAACCTCGAATAAGTTCTTACTTCTCAGCTTCAGCTTCAGCCGCCTCCCAGATCACGGGAGCATTTGGTGAATGATCAGAGAAAAAGAATTGTCTGTCTCTCAAACAAAAATTAAATATTTCTCAGCACCAAAGACATGTTTTAACTATCACGCCAATTTGCATTCCAACGAATATCCCGATTCACAATAGAAAAACTTAGGAAAGTGACTGCAAGAACATTCACCATGGAAGAGGGCATTTCATAAAAATTATGAAGAAACTTTCAACTAAGCTTAGAATTTCAGAGTCTTCTTAGAGTCTCTGAGACTGCTTTTGCAAATATTAAATCTTCACCATAACTGAATAGCTTGGCGAGCACAGTATAACCTTAGAGCTCTTACTGATATAAAGCATGCTCATATAACATAAAACGTTCCATCTTCTGAGGTTAGCATTTAGCACAGCACTTGGCCTTTACTAGTGAGTTACTGCCACTCCACATTTACTGAAAACAACTTTAGGTTGTAAGAAGCACATAAGGAAGTAGATAAGCCACGCAGAAACAGATCAAAAGGAGTAAGAGTAAGACCGTATCCCAAGCATAAATACAGGATACACTAGGACTGAGTGTCCCACGGAGTCCTTCAGGTACTGGATCAATAAAGGTTTGCTTGATACACCACAGCTTGTGTATCTATATGCAAAACACACGTGGGGAAAACACAAACATGCGGCATGCCTGTGACACGTGGCATTCCTCCTAAGTTCTCAAGGATCTGCCCAGAAAGTCAATACTTGGGAAAGCCAAGGGAACCAACCTACACCACCTGGCTTACAGTGCAGGTTCCCAAACTACGTGGAGAACCAAGGATGAACAAACCGACCGACATTATGTTTGAAGACGTGCAATCTGTCCTTCACTTACTCTACCAGTTGCAAAATGTCTACTCAACTCCAAGAAAGAAACAACAAAAACCACGCACATCAAATTTTACTACATTCAGTGGAAGAATACAAATTAAAATACTAGATGGGGAATACAAACTATATGAAAATGCTATTTCTTTACTGCCAAAATTCAGGGGCCTGCTGAACTGGACACATAACAAAATGTCATCAGAATGTACATTTGACCTGGAGTTAAGATGCCAGTTCAGAGAATCTGAATCATGAGATAATGGAATCATGGAACCTCAAGAGTGCCTGGGATCCCGTAGCTAACAACACCGATACAGACTCTGGGGTACAGTGGTAGTCAGGGAGACCTGGATGGGGTCTTCAGCTTCTGGCTTTGCCTTCAGCCCAATCCCAGTGATTGCAAGCATCTGGGATGAATTTTCTCTCTCTCTCTCTCTCTCTCTCTCTCTCTCTCTCTCTATATATATATATATATATATATATATATATATCCCTATCTGTAGCACACTGTGCCTCTCAAATAAATTATAACAAAAACAGCAAAAAACATGTAACCTCTTCTCTCATAGTTAAATCTTCAGGGTGTTAAAAAGCTGAAAAGCACCATGAAGCTATAATGTCCATGTTTGACCTCCACTCATCACAGGTTTAAAAACAGATGCCATCTGAAGAAGTAGGAACTGGTAGAGTTCAATTTTGAAGACTAAAAAGAGGGAGGGGGAAAAAAAAAAGGCCTATGTAAGTATTATACAAAGCCACACATCTGCATGCGCTCAAGTACTCAAAAACCTTTTAGAACCATCTGGCCAGTTCTGGGAACTGGAGGGGGCAGTCCTCACAGGGTCAGAAGACATAGCAAAGAGATTGCACAATATAGTTTTTCTCCCCCCAAAGCATTTCCAACAGGCACTCTCAGTAATGCCCAAAAAGAAGGGAAAAGAAGTGCACAATACACAGGGGTACCCTGGAACGATCCGCCAGGACACGTGCTAACATCAACACATGCTAACTTCGAGCAGACAAGAGCAGGTAAATACTTGTAAACATTACAGGTGCTTGCCCAAGGTGGCAGGTCAGGGTCCTCACCCCATCTGTTCCTTTGTACCACACCTTTCACTGCTCAGCACATGGCCTGACGGCCTACAGAGCCTCACGCTCCAGGGCAGGCTGCACTCAGCTTCCCCCTGGTTCTCACTGCAGAGAAAACTGACTTCAGGAAGTTGTTCAGAACTACTCTGAAAGTCATGTTTTGGTAAACGGGTTTTGCAGCTGCCAGAAGGTCTTGGTGCTAGTAGACTTCTGCGTGTCCCACTGGGAGACGTTCACACTGGAGTATCTCCTTGGGATCACAAGGATTCACTCAAAATGGTGGGGGAGGGATATCTTCCTTATATAGGTTTCTAAAAATGACTCCTTGTACTTCTGTATAAGGGATTTGATAATGCAAAGATCATAAAGAAACTCAAAAGGCTATATTATTTTCCTAGCAGAGTTCAATGTTTTGCTATTACAACACTATGCTGTATTCTGGTGCTTAAACGTCCCTAATTGTTAAGAGAAGAAATCAAGCTTTAAGAGAATCAAAATGAGAAGCTATAGGTAACATGGCTTAATGAGTTGCTTCCGTCATTAGCACAATTTTCTTCTAAAGCAATGATTCATTCCTTTGATTTTTTTTTTACTTAGATGTATTTAAGTATAAATACTCCTAATTAAAGTTTTCTGTAAGTCAAAAACATGAGAAAGATGCAAAGATGTTATTTCATCAGAGCTGAGCAGCATCCGTGGTTACTGAAATAGTTATTAAGGGAACAGATAATTACCCTCTTGATGTGTTCCATTTCAATAAATGTGTTTTGTAGTTGAGTTGCTTTTCCTACCAATTTGTACAGTGGGGACCACGAGTTTTATTGTCAACAAAGTATATGAAATCAATCAAACACAGTAGAAGCTTTTATAATGAAGGCAAAGCAGATGACAATAATAGCATTTTATAGGTTATTCACTGCATATCGATCTAACATTGTTCACTTCTCATTACCTTATAACACATAAAAGATACAGACAAGGCCCTGGTATTTCCAAGTTGCTTTAGCTCTGGTTAGAAGGAAATACCTCAATGAAAGGTAAAGGTGGCTACCGAAGTCCATATATACAGCAACCGACAACTGAGTAGCTACTTCGTTCAAGATGTTCTTATGAAATACATATTCATACCTGCTTTGGACATTTGCACGAGTAATTGGTTCTGGAGCTACTCCCCAGGGACAAGCGTATCTTCCTCCAGGAAGCCGATAAAAATCAAACTGACAGCATATTTTAGGATCAGGTCCGCAGGTGTGAGGGATGTCATAGCTGTAGAAGGGCATCATGTGGCAAAAAATATCTGTGTCGGATCCCAGATCTAAAATAAAAAAGCCAACAGACACACCTGCATTTATAAAATGTGTTGCCTCAGAAACTGTTCATAATGCCATTACTTCAATCACGTATAACACAGGCTCTCCTCTAAGTCATCGGCCCCTTTAACTATTGGTTCACACGGCCCAGTACCACTCTGCAGCCATATTTTCCAGTCTCTACCTCTTGTACCTAATAACACTGGAGACGCCAAGGCATGTAAACCAGCACCACAACTGACTCATCCCAGGTCATGGTCACATCCATCCATTCATCCCTACCTCGGGTAGCAGGGCACAGTGAGAGAGACCTGGATCTCAGCAAAGACAGAGGGGAGGTAAGGAAAAGAGGGAGCTGGAAGAACATGGGAAGAAGGTAGAACAGAGACTCATAAAACTCCAGGCGAATTTCCATTTCCTTCTCGCAGTCCGGAGAGGACATGCCTGTAATCTCTCCTGAGGTTCACCAAGAATGAGTCAAGAGAAATTACACCAAGAGAGGAGCACAAAGGGGGAAAAAAGTCATTGTTGTCAAACAAAACATGATGTGCAAATTAAGCACCTGCTTCCTGATGCAGAACTATTTTTCATCAAAACCTCAAGTCAGCCTGGTTTGAAACCACTACCTGGGATGGAGACCACTAAGGCTGAGTGAGACTCGAGGACTCCACAAGCAGGTAGCAGCGTGGACCTGAGTAAGTATGATCCTAAGCTTTGGATACCCGCCCCCTTGCTTAGGCATAGATTTCCAATTTCTAGCAATGGCTAAGTATTGCTTTTCTATCAGAGAAACCAAAGAAAGGCAAAAAAAGCAACACTTGGCATTAAAAAAAAAAAAAGAACTGCTTCATTTTGTACCAGAACACAAGGAAAAGCTCCACACCATTAGAAAATGCTTTTTTCCCAAAGCAGCATGGTCACATCTACCAGGTAAGTTCTAAAATGTACCATGTTTACCTGCTTAGTTTCAACAATTTCAAACTATCAGAATCTGTGTGTTTCTGAACTCTCAGCTGCCGCACTGCATCACGCAAGGGTAACAGCAAAGATGGAGGATGCCGCACCTCGCGATGCGCACACAGGCGGCCACCGGCTGCAACTCCGACGGCAGCTGCTTCTTCCTCTCTCCTATGGATCAAGAACGGACACTCTTCCACGTCTCAGCCCCTCCCACTTGGTGACCTGTGTTACCTGCTGCGCTTATACCTGTGTCTCATCAAATTAGACCACAATTTCCTTAAAGGCGAAAATAGTTTCTACATTTCTTCCTAGCACAGTATTTTGCAGATAAAAAAATACTCTTTTTTGATTGATATTTGCAGTCAATTTGCACGCAGTTTTTAAGCAGGGCTTCTTCAAATCAACAACCCTTTGTTGTTGTCATTAATAAGCATCTCTACGTTTGGTCAGACTGAACAGGATATAAATCTACTAGAAGTTCATATTTTTTGTACAGGTTTAATTTTCCACTGTTAAAAAAAAGGGGGGGGGGAACACAGCTAATTGTTTTCCTTATTGAAAACCAACAAATCATAAGAAAGTTCATGTCCAGATTTTCTGAACATTTGAGGGGTCTACATCACATAGGAAAACAAGCATGAGACAATGTAATTTCTCAATATCATTTTAGCAGCAAAACTATTTTTTTTTTCAAATGAAAACTTTCCAGAGAACTCAATGCCAGAGTTAAGTCTGGGCTATATAGAAAAATTCAGATCTCTGCTCCATTCCTGCTATTTGTAAGACTTTCCAGCCTCACACAATTAAGCTTTGATTTTCACCATAAAGAGCAATAAAAATAGGAGCTAACTTTTAAAGGATAGATACAGAGATTAACTGAGTGGATAGAAAGCAAGTAACACCTGGTCCACACTGAGGACTCAAGAAATAAATAATGGAGATTGACAAATGCAAACGCCTCCTAAAGGGCCAAAATTTCATTTTTTCTCCCTGCAAAAAAGTGCTGCATGGCACTGTCTATGGACATTCCTGGTGTCTACAAACACAGCACACGCACAGTTGACAGAGACAGCATGCGGCCTGTTCCAGGAGACATGTCAGAGTCTTTGAAAAGGCAATTTTTTTTCAAGATGCAAGCACAAGGGACAGCATGAAGGGACACAGACCAGTAGGAGACAAATCACAGCATTCTGGTTTTAGCGCATGCTCCATTTTGTCATAAAACACGTATTTAGACACACAGGTGGAAGTGCAGTTGAAACAGCCATTGAGATGCCAGCTGCTCCTACCAGAAGGCCTGAACTCAAGCCCTGCCTCTGCTTTCCATGTTAACGTCACACTAACACAAATCCTTGAAGGCAGCAGACATGACTCCAGTACCTGGTCCTGAGTCCCTGCCACTCCTACGGGAGACCCAGACTGAGCTCTGGGCTTGTGACCCACACGCAAAGCATTGTAGGCCTTGAGGGAGTGGACAATTTCTGTGTGTCTCTACTAAATAAAAACGTGTTTTTGAAAAACAGAACCAAGTGAAAGCATTACTCGCACAAGGCTCACTTCTTATATGTATTTACTTCCTTCAGGCCTGCAAGAGTCTACGATGCTCCACAAACATCCGCATCAGTGCTCAAAAGCATCTTGAACCAAACACACTGGAAAAACAACGGGGGACACCATCACACAACTGGATCTTCAAGACCGACACTCTGAACAGCCGCCATGTCATGAGTTCACAACCCTTGTGGAACAACATCAAGGTCAAGTGGATTTCAGCTCTCATCAAATTCTACATACCCCAGTTCTGTCTCCAAAAAAACTCCAACGTTTTTTGTCTTGAAAAGTGTCTTTTCACTACATAATGTATCCTCTGGATGAGCATGTGTGAAAACCCTGCACGTTTCAGAAGGTAGGCCATTGTCGGGGAATGTCCAAAAGGATCCACAGCCCAGCCAGACCGAGGCTTCACTCCTATCGAAAAAGGAAGTAAGTAAGCGTTACGTTTTTTGTTTTTTACTGATAAAGAAAAGTCACCACACATTGACACCATCAAACCTCCATGATCATTCTGGTCGGAAGACAAAGCACCTGCTCAACACCACACTTTGCCAGACGCAAAGCTGGACTCCCCATCCATAGAGCACAGTCAGACAGAACAGAAACACTCTGATAGTGAGCAGCTCCCATGCAGCCATCAGAGAAACAAGCAGGCGTGAGGCCCTGCCCTCAGCAATCTCACAATCCTGACACCCAGGCAGGTGGATTGCCCAGGAAGTCACCTATAGCTGATAAATAAGCCTGATTCATTTCAATTGATACTTTCTAATCCTAACCCTACCCATTGCTGAATGCCTCCTATACCTCAGACCATTCCTAAGTCATCCTATTGTACAAAGACAGAACTGGCCAAAACAATTGCTTACTATTTTTCATTAAATCTTCAAGAACACTTTTTGGCTGATGCCCTCTCTTTATGGCTCATTTCAGTTTTAGCCACTGATCAAAGCTGTATCTTAATTTCATAGAGAACAGAATGTACCAAAAAAATTATAGATGTGCAGGTTAGAATTAATGAGCTAAGATTATTCATCTAACATATAAATCTTATCTTTCAGTATTTATAGTTCTCTAATAAGGTTTCTGCTTCTAATCACATAAATTACATTGCTGTGTGAATTTCTTTTTCCATTCAACCATCTGTCTGACAGCTTTCATGTGCCTAAGATCTAAGCCTTAAAGTCACAAAAATCAGTTAAGCCTGATCTTGTCTAGTTGTAGAGGTGATAAATCCAATGCAAGCATGCTTCCAAAAGTTGGTAGAAAAGGAATTAAAAGCTGGCTTTGGTGCAAAAAATTTTTAAATCATACATGGGTTTTCAAAAGGTTCATGGAAAATCTTCATAATGAATAAATTATGTGTGAATTTAGAAAACATGTGTACCAAAACAAACCCAGCACGTAGTTCCATTTTCCATGAACTGCTCATAGCAATTCTGTAACACAAAGCAATACCAAAAGAAGAAAACCAGAAGGCAGGAAACAGACGGGAAACTAGAAGAGACCAGGAGGAAAACACAGGACTCATGGCCAAGAATACGTGGCCAAAACTGACCACGTAAGATCGGTACATTTCACATATATAATCAATCTCCAACTACTGTAAAGAAGCACTGACCCCCGTTTACTCGTTTTGATTTTTTACTTTTGAGGTATGGATTCAACAATTCTGAAACTACGTTTCATTTATTCTTAAAACTATACAAATAGCAATATTTTTCACCACAAAAGTATCCACAATTATGCAGAAACAGAAAACTGGAATGTCTTCTAAGATATTACTCTACAACATGATATATCAGTACTAACATAATGTTTAGTGCATTGCAGAAATAAAGATACATACATTCTCACATACACATATTTTCCAGCTCAGTGCACCTTTAATAAAGGATCTAGTCCAAGTAAATATCTTAGGCCAAGTAAATACACCTTAGCTCTGTATCTTGGCTTCTGAATACTATTATTATCAAAAATAAACAAGAAATTCTGTTTTGGAGAAGAGACATCAGGAAGGTATAATATATACCTAGAATATATTCTCATTGTTTTCAAATATGAATTTGTTTATTTAAAAGTCAGAAGGAAAAAGAGAGAGCAAGATCTTCCATCTGCTGTTTTAGTGCCCTGACGAGTAAAACAGCCAGCGCTGGACCAGATCAAAGCCAGGAGCCAGGAGCTTCTTCTGGTCTCTCCCATGAGTAGCCAAATTCCACATGAGCAGCACGGAGCCAAGCAAGTGGGCCATCCTCCACTGCTTTTCCCAGGCCATCAGCAAAGAGATGGATTGGAAGTAGGGCAGTCAGGACTGGATTGGCATCCATACGGGATGCTGGTGTCATAGGTGGTGGCTTAATTCTGCTGGCCTAAAATATATTCTTTTTGATACAATTTAGTTGGCCCTGGGCTCTCCCCTCCCCTCCCTTTTGTTCTCCCCTCCAGGTTCATAATGTGTGTCCTTCGTGAATTTTCCCAAGTCCATCATGTTTCCACTGGAGTGTCTCCCAATCATATAGAAGACTGTCGTTCCGCTGTGGGTTCATTCTTATATCTTGGGACACTAATGTGGGTACAGCAAGGATTAGATCTTTGTTGTTTATGGGCAGTACCAATAACAGTAATAAAGGTGCCACTGACCATCTCAGCTGATTATAAACAATCAGCCTCATATGGATGGTTGATTAAAAATGATGCTTTCTTATTACCTTACATTAAGTACATATTATCTCTAATAGTAATTAAAATAAATAATGGTACACACAATTGTTATTTTACACTGTAAATAAATAAACTTCTGAAAACAAATGTGAGTTTCTGGTGTTATTTTTTCTGGTAAGTTATAAATTTATGTTTTGGATATATCAATTGATTAGGAAGAAATGTTTAGCATTATTAAAAAAAACTTCCTAAAAAAAGGCCCCCTTTATGGATCTGGTATTTTAACCATAAGTTCTTTTAAAACACCCATGCATTCCATGGGATATGGCATGATGGCTCAACTGGCAGGGAGAGAAGACGTAGGAACTCAATTCCCTTTCTTCCTTTGAGTAAACAGCAAATTATCTTCAAAGTCAAGGATTCAGCTCTGGGGGATGAATACCCACGGCACCCTGGCGTTGGAGAGCGGCAAGAAGCTAAGGGAACGACCACACAGACCTGCCAGACGCCATCACAGACCTCCCTTCAAAGAAGCATGTGATAGGGGCCCACACGGTGGCTCAATGAGCTGATCCTCTGCCTGAAAGCACTGGCATCTCATATGGGCTGCTCCACTTCCCATCCAGCTCCCTGCCTGTGGCCTGGGAAAGCAGTGGAAGAGGGGCCTGACTTTGTGACTTTGGAACAGCTCAATTGCAGTGACTGCCACCATTTGACAAGTGAACCTGTCAGTGGAGGATTTTGCCTCTCCTCTGTGTAAATCCTTCCAATAAAAATAAATACATCTCAAAAAAATAAAGATGCAACCCAATTCATTATATCAAGTAACAGACACTAATAGATAATTCATATGCCTGGAACTTATGTAAAAAGAAAATCAATCTCATTTGTGCAAATAGATTTGAAAGTCATAAGCAAAAAAAAAAAAAAAAGGACAAATGGAACTGAGTAACACCAAAACCAAAAGGAATTTATCCAGCACTTAGTGACATTCTCATTGAGCAAACTGCTCATCACATCTACAGAACAAATTAGAAAAACCACATCTTGTTAATTGATACCCTAGAGAAAACCCAGCACTCAGTATCTAGGGCTAATTGAAAAATACTAAAAAGAACAGCAATTTCCCCAACACAGGAATTTAGACACATAATAAATTATTAGAATAGTTAACCAATTTTCTTAAAAATATAGAAGGCAAATATGGCCATTAGCAGATGTCACTATGTATAGAATAATTCAATAAAACAACAGGTATATGATCGGAATGTGGAATACAGTAAAAAGGTGAGACAATTTTTTATTTTTAAGATATTAGCACATACTTAAAGAATAGGAATCATGTAAAAATTAGTTTAGAATTACAGAAAACATTTTGGCTTCCATTTTAAAATTTTTTTATATTGAATTTTTTAAATTTTACGGTACAATTCTGTGGAATCTGGGATTTCCCCCAAACTCCCACCCCCCAACTGATTTTCCCCATGCTGTTACAACAATACAGTCCTTCATATGGGTCATGACTCCATCAGTCTGCTATTTAAGGTTTCTTTTTTTCATACATACTTACACATAAAAAAAGATTTTTTATTTTTTCTATATGTACTTACACATAAAAATTGAAAACTTCATTAGACACATCACTAAAAATCAAATAGACAAATAAAACCACAAGCAGAATAACAGTAATAAAACATTTATACAAATGTGCATCATAAAGTTACTTTGGTACAAAAATTTAGAATCCATGCACAAAGGGATTTAAAAAAAAACATGAAAAAATGTCCTATGAAGAAAACTCCACAGATACCAAATTTTGGAAATATCAAAGATTTCATATTTGGAACACGTACAAAAAAAGTGCACCTGAAAAATAAAAGGCAATCTCACTGGTAAGAAAGGGCAAAAGAATCTTCAAAACAGTAAACAACGCAGGCCAATAAGGCCGAGGAAAGAATGCAACATCATTAGTCTCAAAAAGTATAAGTTGAAACAACAATGAAAAATCACTATTCCACACTGGAATGATTTCAACAATAAGAACTGACACCATCACGTGTTGGCAAGAATGTGGAACAATCAAATTCTAATTCGTTGTTGGTGAAATATAAAATAGTACAATCACTTTAAAATCTTTCCAAGTTCCCATACAAGTAGCTCTCCTACGGCCCCGAAATCCTACCTCTCATCCACACATGAGTATAGTAGTATTACTGACGGTAGCCAAAAGCAGCACCAAGGTAAGCGTCATATCTGCTATGGAATTCTTCCCTGCACAGGCCAGCTACCTGCAATTTCCTCTCAATGCCTCCAATTATAATAACCCCAACACTACAGTAATAGGGAAAGGGAAAAAATATATAGCCAGTGTGTGAAAAGGCTAATGAATGCTGAAGTTTGATGAAGGATCCATGCAGTTTTCTACAATATTACTACAACTTTTTGCTGAATTCCAAATTACTTCGAGAAGCAAATGAGAGAAACAAAATGATATCATTGCGAGAGACTTTAAAAGTTGTACCATAAAGTATCAAAAAGAAAAAAATTCAACTAAAATAATGGTAGATTTGCCATAAAGAAAATACAAAATCTTACTGAGATGTGCAACATCTTAAAGAGTTACATTCACATGATAAAATGCTGTATTAGATTATCACAACGATTTGACTCAATCCTAAGTTGCTACGAATTACAGCGGACATCCTATTTTATTAGGCCAGCATCCTCATCCCTGATTCTCATGGGAACAGAATTAGTTACTTCCGGGGCCCCAGTCACACTGTGCAGGTGCAACTGGTGATGTCATCTCCACCAGGATCATCTGTGCCAAAATGCCAATGCTTCATAGAGATTTCAGCTTCTGTTCCTCTGGATACAAAACTGGCTAAAGTATTAAGGAAAGTCCCTTCGCCTGCTTGCTGGACCAGGAAAAATGAGGGTGGCCCAGAACCATTGTACTCAATATGTGGGAAAAGCCAGGGAACAAACTGAGGCAAAAATCAGTACAGCCTAGACAGCACAATGTCCCTTAGATGCAGTCTTCCTAAAGCCGCCATTGTTTTGGAATTCCCAAGGACAGAATATATTTTTTTTCTTTTTGGCTAAAACTAATAAACATCTACATGCTATTGATCAAGAGTCTTAATTAATATATAACTAAAATTCCCCCAGAGAAAAGTTCTAAAATGAACCAATCAATAAAAAAAAAATAAACAAGGTAACTTAATGATCCCAAAAGTGACTCCTATACATCTAAGTAAGTAATTTTATATCAGAGATATCATATATTAGTGAAGTATAAGTTATTCAACAATAATGAGTACTAGAGAAAATCAGTCTTTCAAAAATTAAATGGAGGCTCATGTCACATTTCCTAAATTAGTTGCTTAAAATTTCCCATGTGTAGAGAAAACATCAATACGTACCTACATGCTTTTCCAGCCACTGGTTTCCTTCAATTAGTTGGTCAATCATGGCAAAGTAATGAGAAGTAGCTTCATCAGTCATAACCCAGCCACCTGTCACCATTTCAAGTTGGCCATTTTCTAGTAAACTGGGGAAAAAAAGTCATGAACAAATATAACTTCAAAAAAAAATCCAGAACATCATAAACACTTAGGATTTTAAACAAAGCCAACCTATTTATACTAGTTGTTATAAAACTTTTGCTAACCAGGTACATCTCCCGCATAACCTAAAAGATTCTTGATATGTGTGTAGACACATGTGATTAACTGACTTAAGAATCTTAGAGTTCTAAGCTAGTGCATTTCTGAGTACATGCCTGAATGTCTACCAGAAGACAATCATTTCAAAGACAATACTTCTTCCATCATAAAAAAAAAATCATTATTACAAAGTCAATCCTGCAAACAAGGAAAAGTTATTACTAACACCAGTAAATACCATAGGAACCATGAAATACACAAAAAAACGCTCAAGACCGATGCTCCAGACTCAATTAAAAGGTAGGCTCCAGAGTTGATGTTGCATCACTGATTAAAAATCTCCTAACATTCCCATTGTTTGCCTGTGAGTTATTCCTTGGACATAACGCCACCCCCAAGGTAAAAAGATCAGCAGTCTAAATAAAACTCAACCAGTAGGCGAAGATATTCTCATTGAGCAGGAAAACAAGTAATAACGTGTTATTAAAGGTTTTTAAGATGTCATAATACAAAAATCAGGAATTTAAGCAAATATCTTAAGTGTCACAGATTCATCAGTCTGCAACAAGATGGCTTGGCCAACACCATCAAAGCTCAGAAAAGCAGCCTTAGGGACGGGTGTCAGCGCCTGCAGGAATAGAACAGCCAACCAACCAAACACATTTGCTGGAAGTGGACCAAAGGCACAAAGCATAAACACTTTCACAAACGGCAAAGTACCACCAGCAGTAACACATCGGATTTATTTAAACATATGTATAGCCATATAATTCATGAACAAATGACACAAATCCAAATAAATACGTGCTTGCATAAAACCAAATGAATTCAATCTGTATTTTCATGGGAGCATCAACTAAAAGTTTCACATAGAGAAAATGATGACTCATTAGATTATCTTGGTCAGATCTCACACTCCCTCAGGGCTAAAATCAGTAACCCATAAAAAAGAAATATGGGAATTTATAAATAGCACATTTCTTTAAGAACATAACCGAATCCAAGGGTATCCTCCCCACTCCTGCTGCCAGTGGGCCTTTGCTCACACATCTTTCTGCAGACTGCCCGTTTCAACCACACTGTGGAGACCACAGACTGCACCTGCCCCTTATGGCCAACAGCTTGGCGGCCAGAGATGTGAGGATGCTTTGCGGTTTCATGTGTGACCAACAGACATCAACCTCCTTTTCTCAATACTCCAATAAATCTTTTTTGGAAAACTTCGAGCATAAGTTGGTCAAAGACAAATGCTTTGCTGGTCCTAAATTTAAAAAAAAAAAAAGGGGGGGGGGGAGAACTGGGTAGCTCATCTGGCTAAGCCTCCACATCTTAGCACTGCGATCCCATATGGAGGCTGGTTTGTGTCCTGGTTGCTCCAGTTCCCATCCAGCTCCCTGCTTGTGGCCTGGGAAAGCAGTGGAGGACAGCCCAGAGCCTTGGAACCCTGCACCCACATGGGAGACCTGGAAGAAGCTCCTGGCTCCTGGCTTCAGACTGGCATGCAGTTCTGGTTATTGCAGCCATTCGGGGAGTAGAGCAGCAGATGGAAGGTCTTTCTGTCTCTTTTTCTCTCTGTAAATCTGCTTTTAAAAAAAATAAATAAATCTTTTTTTTTAAAAAAAAGGGGGCACTACATACTAAGAAAACAGTATAAATGGGGGAAATCATGACAGCAATGGCATTTTTCATTTTTGTATCAGTTTGCTTTTGATGCGTGTTCTTAAAGGAACCATGATTTGCTCTCAACCAAGCAACCAATGTAATGCGTGTTATACAGCAACTGATTTTCCTAGCCCCACTGTGATAACTCATCCTTCCTACTCCTAAAACACCTGAGATGTTCCCTTGATTATACACTGAGATCCTCTCCAAATAGAAGTTATTTAAAGATCATCCAATCTCTTAATTTGGAGGAGGCACAGAAAGCCTCCCACCTGCTACATTGCTTTCCAGAATTTTCCCTCCCATTTCTTCTGTTCTTCTCTCCTACTCCAGCTAGGCCCAGCGGTCCTTGAGTCCCACTTCACACGGAGCTCACCCAGAGAAGTCTTCACGAGTGCCTAAGCTAACACAACACATCCACATTCTTCTCCTTCCACAGCCTTTGGCACAGACCAGAATTCCTTTACTTCCCACTGGCACAGAAGCTCCAAGACAGCAGGGGACAGTACCCGCTGCTTTCCTCATGCACACATGCTCAGCGCTGAGAGGCTTGCCTGGCACAGAATGTACATAAACACTCAAAAACATTTCAGTTGTCCAGGTGAGATGTGATCTGATCTAAAACATGGCAGCAGGGAGACATGTGGAAAAGCAGAGAGAAGGTGTTTCAGGAAAATCTATTGGTGGGAATTGGGATATGGCTAGGTAAAAGAAAAGATGGAAGCAAGGGTGACTTGTCCTCACATTGCATGAGTCAAGTGTAGTGGGGGGTGTCCACCCACAGACAGTAGACCAGACGTCACACGTAAAGTCACTTCACTGGAATGAATAGGTGTTAATAGGCACAGTTATTTTCTGATAGTGGAACATTCAGAAGAAACTGTAGAAAAGAAAGCATAGTAAAGGAACTAATAAAAACACGCATGCTTTAAGATGATCAAAACCAAGATGAAACAAAAAAAAGGATTAGTTATCAAAAGCAAAGGCAAAAACCAGACAGAAACACAATATAGGAGAGAACAGTGGTGATAAGGCGAGTCAAGGGTGGGAAACGCAGGGTTTAGACTCCAGCAGTGACACCAGATCCCAAATCAGAGTGTCTGGGTTCAACTCCCAGCTCTGCTCCTGCTGACACGCACCCTAGCAGGCAGCCAAGTCTAGCAGGTTGGGCCCTGCAACCCACGTGGGAGATTCAGGTTGAGTTTGGAGCTCCAGGCTTCTAGGAGCAACGTACCAGGAAACACAAAAATCTCAATCTCTTTTTGCCTTTCTTTTTTCTTTCTATTTTATTTATTCCATGACACAGTTTAATAGTCAAAGCCCCCTAATTTTGATTTCATCAAGATGTGTTTAGATAAACAATAAATCCATGAACGTACAACCTCATAAATTCTAGCGAAGGGCCATCAGGAGCGGCCTGTCCCTTCAGATGACGAAGGACTAAAAAGCTATCCCAATAGCAACTTAGACAGCTCAGTGGGTCAGAGGGCAAAGAAGCAGATTGCTAAATATTTACATTACGAAAATAGCCAAGAAACTAGTGGTGACAGGATGAGTTATTACTGCCCGGATACTTTTATTTTTTCAGTTCCAATCAGGATGATTGAAAATGAGCTCTGAAGAAAAATCTCAGACGTTATGCCATGGAAGCCAAGGACCTCATATTTGAGAATAGCAATACTGACATATGTTTTTCACAATTAGGTGAAAACAGGCCTAAGCAAAGTGTTGAAAATAGCCACTGGAAGGAGCAATGGGAGAGAGAGACAGTAGCATACAGGGTGGGAATCAGCAGGGGACAATCGCCCATCCCCATTCCACTGAAACGCCTGTTCCTCCTGAGGCTGCAGTCCACTGGGAACCAGAAGACACTCGTGCCCAAAGCGTCTGCTTTCCTACAACCTATTTAACGTGTTAGGAAGAAACCCCTGCTACAGGGCCATCCCACCCCCAAAACCAGAAACAAAACAACAACAGCACTAAAAAAACAAAAACACACCGAAACTTCAAAACCCCAAGAAATCTCACAAGCACATAAATCTTTGCTGCCTTCTAGAATGCACGTGATTTGTACTTAAGAAGTATCTGAACAATGACCCAAAATCAGGTAAGCTACTGACCTACTTACCTGAGACGCACAGCGCTGATCGCCACTTGGTGATAACTACAGACCTTAAGACTGAAGCCCTAGAGCAAACAACGCAACAGGAAATACCTGAGATGCTTATAAGCATGAACACAAAAGTCATTCTCGTCCTGCAGAAATAGATCACACACTTCAAGTTGTTACTGTCAGTGGCAAGACAAAACTAAAACACATTTTAACTCTGTGTGTAAAACCTTACTAATTTAGAGATTTCAAGGAAAATACACTTAAGTATGTATGCACACATGTATAAGCTCAAGGGGGGAAAGGTGACCCAGCAGCAAGGCAAGCACTTGCAAGTCTTTCTATTCACACAGTGTTTAAGAAAAGCACCGAGTGAACTATTTCTGTGACAGGCAGGGGAACACAAAAATCAAAAAGGATGTGCCCACTCCTTCCCTTCCACCCTCTCTCTGGTTCCCAGCAAACTTTCTGTATGAACCCCGCTTGCTGCTTCCTAACAAACATGAGCACTAGAGGCAAAACAGAAAAGGCAGAAAAGGAAATCTATGCGCACAATGGCAATGGGGTCATCATCAAGTTTATGGAAAATGCATATGATGAAGCACTACTCAAAGATTCAAAACTTCTTGCAGAAAACAAACATGTTTCCATTCCATTTCTTCATAAACACTCTGATGCACCCTCAAGTGTATATATATATATATATATGTATGTATATAAGCGTATATATATGTGTGTGCACGTGCGCATCCAAGTCCAGAAATTAGGAAGCAAGATATCAACCTATATTTAACAATGCTTCAGTTTCACTTCTTTCAGTGGAGTGCTGACTTGCAACTACTGCCAAAGACATTAACGTACTTCCATATTTCACTTCAGTACTGGAGAATCTGGTTGAAAAAAAAAAAAAAAGCTAAGGAGATGACCAGTTAAAATTGGGCTAAGCACGCCCATCACTGCGCAGGCTGCCTACCAGGCAGTTTGCACATCAGATCTAACGCGAAGCACAGGCAGCTGCACATCGCCCTAAGTGGCGCCTTCCCCCGGGAGGCGTCTCAGCCCCTGGGAATGCGGGCACATGCAGAGGGGTATGCACTCAGAGAGCTTTTCTCC